TATATATATATATATATATGAGTCGGTGAAACTCCGACGAAACAGTTTGTCACAGCCCCTCGTTTGTTGTCCTCTTCTCCCTCTCTGCCTACGGTTTACCGGGCAGTTCTATTTGACGATATATAGCCCCTCGTTTGTTGTCCTCTTCTCTCTCTCTGCCTACGGTTTTACCGGGCAGTTCTGTTTGTGACGATATATATATATATATAGCCCCTTGTTTGTTGTCCTCTTCTCTCTCCTTGCCTACGGTTTACCGGGCAGTTCTGTTTGTGACGATATATATATATATCTATATCTAGATCTATATATATATATATATGTTACGATCCTGGTCATTCCCAAAGTGCAAATTCACAATGAAAGACAATGCCACTGAATTGCGAAAGAAATGAAAGCACTTGCAAAGAGATAGAGACCAAAGAAGAGAGAAGAAGAAGAAGAAGAAGATGTACACCAGCAAGACCAATGACAAATCCCCCTTCTCTCTCCACCTTCCTCCTCCTCCGTTACTTTGCCAATCTTGTTCTTCTCCCAATAATAATAATAACAATGAGTGGATGAACCAGAATCAATGTCCGAAGTTCCTTCTTACTGCTGATATCACAATAGGCCCACCATATTTATGGCTTCCCCCCTTCTTCCACCTCTCACATGCCTAGGCTATGGTGGACTACTGAGGGCCCTGCCCTCCTGTGCAAAGGACAACGCAAAGCAGCTATGTCGCTGCACTCCTGTCCAAAGGACAACCCAAAGCAGCTATGCCGCTGCTGACTAATCCGCCATGCCTGACTCTGCCTCGAGCTTCCTTGGTGCAGCACTACCCCAACTGGGGCCTTCCAGATGCAGTGCCCAACAAGGTGATGAAGATGGTGTCCACCATAGCCAGGTAGGTACGTCGCCTCTCCTCCTTCGCCCCCATCTTCCTCCCCGTCAGGCTGGGCTGCTCGCCATAGCCAGGTTGAGCGCCCAACTGCTTGTCACCTCCAGGCAGCGCTGCCCAAGTCCAGCGCTTGGCTCCAGCAGCATGTCGCCAATCCTTGCATACCGCAAATGAGGAGGAGCTGCTTGCTCCTCCGGAAGATATAGCGGCCTACTGGCCTCTTGGGCGGTGACTTCCTAGGCCGAGCAGCGTCCCAGCAACTGGTACCTCCTCCCTTTCAGAGGGAAACATCATTGCAGGCTTTGCTATCGTCCGGACAGGCCCTAGACTCAGGCTACTTGGACTGGTACCAACCTACCTCTATCCTACCGCTACCGGGCCTCTAAAAATGCCAACTTTTTGTCTTTTTCTGCTCGGCTTCCAGTACCCGACTCTTCTAGCACTACTTGAGTGGTACTGGCCTACCTGCTACTTGAGTGTTTTTCCCCGCTGCTCTAAGTGTTGCGGGCCTACCCCCGCTACTTGAGTGTTTTCCCCGTTGCAATCCTCAAAGTCACGACCACAAGTAAGTACTGGCCCTGCGGGGCCTTTCAACCAACAAGTACCCTTGCGGGTCAAACACACACTCAGCCGACAAGCACTCAGACAAACCCGCAAACCAGCAGGCACACACACACACACAGACTTGGAAACCACAACAAAATGTCAGAATCTCAGCAAGGCATTCATTCCAGTGGCAAATCCCATAAATCAGCAGTGTTCTTAGTCTGTGTTTTGGCGGGTCATTACACTACCCCCCTCTCAAGAGCAAGGTCCCTTCGAGCGAGTAACTCGTTCAGAGTCGGCACAAAATGCGTCATAGGCGTAGATCGGAAAGAGAGATTTAGTAAGACCGTGAGGAGTGAGTTTTGCAGAAAACTTAGCAGTCTGTCCATCAGCGATCTGTCAATCATAAGCGTTAACAACACGGGGAACATTCTTTAGCAGCTCTTTTCGGTCGATCCATAAGAATTCGTTCAATGGGTGATAGAGGAAGTGAACCTTGTACTGTATGTTCCTCCCTCTTCCTTCATGGGGAACAATTCTGTCTATCTCATGGCTGCCGTCGATAGGACGAGGTATCATAGGATCTCGGAAGGGAAAAGTCTCATCATCGATGTGTGGAAACAGTTGGACGCATGAAAGACCGGATATGTGTGCAGATGAGGAGGCACGTCAATCACATACGAAGGACCAAAATCATCCCCAACCACCTTTAGAATCTGCCAAGGGCCATAGTGGAGTGGAAGAAGCTTTCGTGATACGCCCTCTTCGTCAGAAAACTCAAACATTTTGACCCAGACATAACTTCCTACTTCGGAGTTCCCTTCTTTGCGCAACTTGTTAGCATGTTTGATCATGGCATGCTGACGCTTGTTCATCGCTGTGATAGCAGCTTTGAGCAAGCGTGCATACTTGGCATTATAGCCAGGCATGCCGGGTGTGAGATTAGGGGACCGTTCGGGGAACAGATAGGAGAGAGGATTGCGCAACTGCCAACCATATTGCAGCTGATTCGGTGTCACGCCAGTTGCAGAGTGAATGGAGTTGTTGTACAACCCCTTCACTTGATCTGGAACAATTAACGCGTGAAGTAGTTGGATGACAGTCTGGTTGATTTCCTCGGCCAATCCATTGGCTTCGGGTTGTCGACACAAAGTGAAGGGGTCCCAATCACAAATAATGTCGAAGTCCGTGTCCAAAATGTCGAACGTCACCGGTTCGCATGCATGAGGTGCGAAATACACCGGTACGGCCTCGATGTAGCGGTCGATAAGTTGTTGTGTCCTTCCGTCCGCCAACTTGATCGCCGACGAATTTGCCTTCCTGCGAATCTGTGTGTCAAGGCCAGCCCTTTGCATAAAGGCTTGGCTCATGAAATTGCGAGACGTGCCGCTATCCGGCAAAGCGCTGCAGGACGCTTGCCCAACTTGGATGCGAACATAGAGGAGCGGTGCGTTGTTGTCATCTTACCGCTGCTTGCGAAACTCGAGGGCCACCTTGGTAACATACGTAAGGATGTCCCCCACTGCAGCTTCGTTATCCGTCAACGAAGTTAGTGGTGCATTGAAGGATAGATATGTGTGAAGATGAGCGCATAATGTTGCGCATTGCGGTTCCGGCAAGCGGCCCGTGGTCGGGAGAGGAAGCCATGCGAAATCCTCAGACATGAGCGGGTCCAATACCTCTATGTTGAACTCGCACGCCGAATCCCGTGAAGAACCACTTGAAGACGATAAGTCACCGCTGTCGGACGAAGAAGATGCCGCACACACGTCTTGTCCTTGAATATGAGTACCTAGCATAGGAACGAGCCGGGTAGCATAGTCCTCATAAGAATATAGAAGAGGAGGACTATCGACTTCCGCATGTGCCTCGAAATGAAGGGCGGTCACCCGCGAAGCGACCGGTTCTGAAGGCGTCGAGAGTGTCATCGACTTACTCCCGGCGGTGCTCAGTTTCCCGATTTGCCTTTGCCTTTCGACGGCAGCCCACTGTCTTGTGAAGATCGCTGTTACACCACAGACAAGCGGAATCTCGTACGTGCCTTGTACGCCTGTTCAGAGAGACCGTAGTGGGACCATGGGGCTGAAGCTGCTGCGCCAGGCTCGGGGCTAGATGCAGTGTTTGTCTTCGTCTTGCCGCGTCCTCTGCCTGTGACGGGGCGGCCACCATCCCGGGCGGCTGCGAGTCTGTCCCCTTCATTGGTAGACACGGCCCCGCTAATTTGGCCGGTTGACGTTGCCACCGCGACCATGACCACTTTCGGCTGATGCTGATCTCTGCTCAGGCCTGCAGCAGTCGAACGGTGGAGGTTTTTGGCCTCCTTGTTCGTGACAATGATCTGCGCGGCCTTGTTGAAGAGCTCCGTTGTTGTCGTCAGGGTGTCCTCGACGCGAGTCAAGGCGTTGCCCAACGCCGGACAGGACCTCGAGATGAAATAGTGTTTGACGACCTTGAAGCCCATTTGAATGTCTGGGACGGATGTCAAGCGTTGGTACTTCGCAATCCAGTCAACACTCGGCAGCGTGCCTTGTTCGAAGGTCATCAACTTGTCCATTGCCTTGATCTTTGGCGGCTCTTCTTGGAACCGCTTATGCCACGCTGCCTTCAGATCATCCCAGCTGATCTTGGTGTATAAGTCGGCAGCTACCACTCCGTACTTGGACAAGAGATTGCCCAACCATGCTTGGCACGTGCCCCCCGATCGGGAGTACAAGTATGCATGATGTTTGTCCTCGCTGACTTGGTGTAGCTGCAACTTGAGCTCGAACTTGCGGAGCCACGAAATCGGGTCCGTCTTCGTCGAATCGCAGCAGATCTCCTGATCATCGAACCTTGGAGTCATCTCGCGCTGTGCCGGACTTGGGTTGGCGGCGGCAACACAGATCCGCTGCTCCAGTTGTTGCGTGGCTGTTTGCTGTAACTGTGTGTCGTCCTTGAGGGCTCCGACGTCGATCTCCAATGCATTGAGGCGATCAAAGGTGTTGGAGGAGCTGGCATCGGGGGCGGCGACGGGTCGTTGCTCCAGCTGATGGAGGCGGCTGTTGACTTGGTTAAAGACCTGATTGTGCGTCTGAACCGCGTCGTCGAGGTTGTGGATGTCCTCCTGCTGTGCAATGCACGCGGCCAGGAGATCTGTCAAATGGGAGAGGAGTAGAGCGATCTTGTTTTCACTGTCTTCCATCTTCCCATTCTCGGTCTCGGCCCGCCAGTCTGCTGCCATTGTGAGCAAAGCTCGCTCCTCGGCGTTCTCCGCCTTCTTCTTTGCGGCGGTTGCTACTGCATGCGACCGTTGGTTGGCTTCGGTAATCAGAAGCAGCATCCGGGCCTGATAGGCCTCGTCCGTTTCCCTGGACATCTGGTCCATGACGGATGTTTGCGAGCGCGTGAGCATAGACCAGGCTGGTGGCCTCCTGACGTGGCACTGCCTGCTGCTGACGTGGCCTGCTGATGCGTTCTGCTGACGTGGTCTGCTGACATGGTCTGCTGACGTGGTCTGCTGACGTGACAACTCACCAATGCCGCCGCAGGGGGTACCCGGAGACAGATAGAGAAGATAAGACCAGAGGGGGCAACAACATAGGTGGGGAAGGGTGGGTGGGATAAATAGCCCAGATTAGGAGCCACTAATCAAAAAACCGAAAAGTTTGAACTTTGCAAAAAAAAATTGAGAAAAAGAAAAAAATACTCGTTTGCAAGTTCAGTAGGCCTCCCAATTCCCCCTGAAGTGCCAAATTATGAATGAGGGACAAAAAATTTTTGAACTTTCAGACTGCAAATGAGTGTCCGGTAAGAATTCCGAAAATGACATACAACAAATATTCGGAATTACTTAGACGAGAGTATGCGCACTTTGGAAAATGATAACTGCAAGAGGGATTTCCCGTACCGTCTTTAAATCTCGAAAACGAATTTCGGAGGTAAAAAAATATTCCGGATTTCCAAATAACGGGAAATTGCAAAAGGAAATCGAAATTTTTGAAAAAAAGATATTCCGGATTTCCAAGAACGAAATTTCGAATTTTCAGAAGAAAAACGAAAACGGAAATTTCAGGTGTTGTGCTATTGCGATTTTCCACAACAGAAATAGCGGGAAAACAAAATCCAAGAAAGAAAATTCCGATTTTCGGCAGTGAGGTCAAAATCGTGATTTTCGGGGCTAATTAGTATGCTCTAATAATCAATCAATCAAAACTAACTGACTACTTAGTCCTCGCACACGTGTCAGATCAGGCTGTACTGATTCACGTGTGGTGCTTCTATACCAACTGTTACATGCCCAGTTGGGCGATGTACATATATAACCGAGGATCTGCAATGTGATGAAAAGGACTGAATGGACAATGCAGTGCTAGTAGAATCTCAACAAGCAGTGTACATCCTGATACATACAAAAATGGTGCTTTATAGCGCAGTGGAAGACTTAGATATAAGTCCCGACCTGACCGGGACTGACCTCTCTCACGTAGTGCAAGACAGCGCAGCAGAATGCTAGAATACCAATGACTAGCCCAATCAATGTCGCAATACAGACCAAACATACATCATCCTCATCACAAGGTGTGAAGGGGCCTGGCGCTACACACAGGAAGAAGGCGCCAGGTCCAGATCATGCACACAGACGAAGAGGAGGGAATCAGATGAAGAAGAGGGGGGGAGATGGAAATATCGTCAACACCAAGTCTTCGTCACAAGTCCCAAATAACCCCTCTTCAAATGTCTGAAGCCCAATGTCGAGTCTGGACCAAATGTCACCAATCCCACTCTCTCTCGTAGTCTCCTGATGCAGTGAAGTCAGGTAACGAGAGGGTGAGAGGAAGATGGTGGACCTAGAAGAGGAAGAAGAAGAACTCTCTCTCTCTCTCTCTCTCTCTCTCTCTCACACACACACACACACACACACACACACACACACACATGTGCCAGGTACTAACCTGTGAAGATGGTGCTGTGCTGCAGGTACCTCAAAGACGAAGCTGGCGCTATGGCGCTGCAGGTAAGGCTTCCTGGCCTCCGCCCAATCTCTCTCTCTCTCTCCAGTACTACTCTAGCTCCTACCAGCGCCCAGCGCTGAAGACTACTGCTAACGCTACTAGCGGCCAGCGCTGAAGACTACTGCTAGCGCTACTACTACTCCTGCAGCACTCCTCCAGAGTGCTGCTGCCGACTCTTGAAGACTACCTCCTGCCTCCTGAACTGCACGTGAAGTGCCTGGGAAGTACCTAGGAACTACCTGCAGCCTGCAGGGCGGGCCAGTCCTATATAGTGCTGGCCCGTCCAGGAGGCTGCTCTTGCCAATGCCAAAACATGCCAGACCCTGGCGTTGAAGCTCAACCAAGGGTTGTCTTGAAAACAGGCCCAGAATGGCCTGTGCTAATACCCTGGTCTGGTGCCTGAGTTTCAGGGCAGGTGGATCTTATGAGGGCCTGAAAATGGCCCTCCGTGTCAGGCTGAAAAGACTCAGGGCTGGGAAGGCCCTGTTTTAGGCTGAAAAGACACAGGGCCTGTAGGCCCTTGTTTTCAGGCTTTCAGGCTGGAATGACACAGGGCCTGTAGGCCCTTGTTTTCAGGCTTTTGGGCTGAAAACGACACGGGCCTGAAAATGGCGCGTGCAGCCTGTTGCAGGCGCAGCATGTAACATAATTGCACAACCGCAAGCAAAATACTGAAAATCTTCTATCCAGTGGGCCTATGCCCGATCCCACCCTCTTTTGGGGTTGGCCATACCCCCAACGGATTGAAAAGATTTTGGCGGAAAGCTTCCTTTGCACCGGCATGCCCAGTGTTAAGGAGAGGAGGGGAACAAAGATCTCCTCCCTTTTTTGGGTAATACATGTAAAAAAAATACTGACCGTGGGATCACGAGTACCGATCATGGGCAGGATTTGGGTCACACTCAACTGCCACACAAACTCTTTTCTATCGTATCCCATTGCTAGTGGGACCGTTCAGCCAACCCCATGAGGTGGGACTAGGGCCTTTTTATATTGTTTTGTACATGATCTCTTGCCTTTTTCTATTTTTCATATAAAAAAGAGAAAAAGAAAAAGAGAAAAAGAAAAAGAGAATCCAACGCCATTGGTCGCACTCTCATGCGAGGACGTTTCCTTCCCTGAATGAATGTCTCAGCAATTACGGCCAGATTCAGTCCAAAGAGCCCACGTGTGAGAAAGTTGAGCCCTTTAGTCTCAGTTTCTGCGGGGGCTATCTCGACGTGTTCCCTGTATGATGAACACCTCTTGAGGGCCTCTTTTTTTTTTTTTTCTTCTTGACGTGTTCCCTGTATGATGAAC